ATTTTTATTTTTATTTTTATTTTTATTTTTATTTTTTGGGATTAGAATCGAACCGGCCCAGTGACACCATGCCCATTTACTCCTTCCCCCTGGCTTCGACGGTTCTTAATAGTATTTTCTCAATTCAATGTAAGGTATTGTAATTTTCAATCAGGGCATATAAACACTGCAATTCTCCATATTTTTTCTTGCTTTTTTGTCACCCGAAGATGGCGCTGACGACAGTGAAATCAATCGAAACGGCACTAGGCCTTGTCGACTCGAAGAAAGAGAACCTGAAGAAAGCATTCGAAGATTTACAATCGCATTCTTCGGCTTTGTCCTCCTTTAATTTCACATGGTCAGACCTTGACTCGTATTTTACATCCATTCAGTCAGACTTGCTCGAAAAGTTTTCGACCATCCAGACGCTCGAATTGTCGCAGTCGCAAACCCAGAAACTTAAACGCAAGAAACTGAAAGATTCGCTCTCGGCGGACCCGATTCCGGCCCGAGCGGAATTGAAGTTACTTTGTGAGAAGATGGACGGAATGGGATTGAGGAAGTATATAATTGAGCGGCCCAGGGAACGGACCGCTATCCGGGTCGAGCTGCCAGACGCGTGGAAGAGTGCCGCGGACCCGGGTTCGATGATTTTGGATGCCCTGGAGGGGTTTTGTGATGGAGGATCGGTTTCCACGTCGGACGTAGGTGGGTTAAGGAGGGTGTGTGTGGTATTGTTGGAGGAATTGATGAGGGCTAACGTGGAGATTGGGGCGGAGGTTAAGGAGCGGGCGAGGGCCATGGCAGCCGACTGGAAGGTGAAAATAGAGGCCAATAGCGGTGACGGGGAAGAACGGGATGAGGAGGAAACTGGTTTGGTGAAGCTGGGCTATTTGCAGCTCTTGGCTACTTATGGCTTGGTAAGTGCTGGTGGATATGACGTAAATGAGCTAATCGATTATGCTGTTGTGATTGCAAGATATCGACAAGTTGTTGACTTGTGTCAAGCTCTTGGCCTTGGCAATAGGATTTCTGGTATATTTGATCCTTCACTGCTTATTTGGTGCCAGGTTCTTGGTTCTTTTGTTATAATGATCTCATTGTGATTTCTGTATTCTTTTTTACTATGTCGATGTATTGTTATCTTGCTTCTTTCTTGTTGTTCCTCGATAGTTGCATTCTGATCTTTTTGTGCTGCGTATGAAACTTGGATGTCTTGAATCTAAAGGCATTTAGACCGATGATATTGAGAGCTGACATATCTACGTTAATTGGATCATACTTCATAATAAATTGACTTAAAAGTGGAAGAAGGCCTTGTATTTGTGCTTTTGCTTCTAACTTTCTCTCCCTTGGCTTACAGTGGACTAGGGATGGGTTGAGAACTTGACAACTTCATGACACGCATCATATTATGCTTGATGACATTTTTTTTAACTGTTAGTTCACTTCATAATTTACAGCCATGTGTTTCAATCGACGTGCATGTCTAGGCATGAACACGGAATGAACATGCATATGGTCCTCTTCATAACATGCATAAAATCATTTGTGTGCAAGAACAAAAAGAGGATTTCATCTAGTTTGGAGTTAATAAGTTGGTGGACAGTTGAAAACTAGTGTAGATTAAAATTTGGACTCACTTCTCAAAGTTTGTGGTTGATAGAAACTTATGCTAATTGAGGATGGTGCAAAATTTATATTTTTCTTCCTCCTCACTTTAGTTACTTCTGAAATTTTAATGTTTGGCTGCCTAGAAATGAAACCCCTGAAATAGAAATAGAAATAATCAACTCTGGTATTGGAACCAGATACTATTCATCTCTTAGGTCTCTCTCTTCGCAATTCCAGCTGTAAGATTTGAACTTTGCATGACTTAGTATCGCATTTAGGAATGTAGAAAGCATTGCAGTGCAATGACAGGGGGGTTATTTTTAAGAGATTTTTATTTTTTTTTCCTAATGGAAAGTAAATCTTTAGTAGAAAGGAGTAAGTTTGTGCTGTTGTCTTTTTATGTTGAAATAGTTGCGGAAATTGTTTGGATGATTGGTAAGAAGCATTGTCTTGAAGTCATTTTCTTTTGCTTGTGCACGAGCAAATTCACCATGTGCTATGCACTTGTGGCTGAGCAAGTTCAGTCCTACTAAGTTGTGCCACTTAGTTGCTTATGCTGTAAAGCTCTTTTGTGCAAATATTTAATAGTTTGATGCCAATAGCAATATATATGGCCTCTCACAGATGTTATTCAGAAACTCATCAGCAAGGGCAAACAACTTCTGGCTCTCAAATTCATTTTTGAATTTGAGCTGACTGATGAGTTTCCTCCAGTGCCATTATTAAAAGCCTATGTGATAGATTCAAAGGAAAATGTTCAGAAAATTCGCAAGAGTGGAAAGAGCTCTCGTCAGTCTTTGGTAATCTTTCATATCCTTTTTTTGATTGTACTTAGTTTCACCCCAGATGCCGTAGACTGACATTTTCAACTGCTTTTGTAGAACGAGGCTGTGATGAAAGAAATCAGTGCATTGAAGTCGGTGATTAAATGCATTGATGATCATGGTCTAGAGTCACAGTATCCAAAACATATCCTTGTAACTCGTATTGAGAAGCTGGAGAAGGAGAAGGCTGACAAGAAACGCCCTGCAACAGCCACCGTGCCCAAACCTCCTCAGCAGGCAAAGCAACAAAAGCAGAGGGGAAACAAGCGAGTGAAGGAATTTACTGGTCCATTGGCAGTCAAAAATAAAAATCGTTCTAAACCAGTTGTTTTTCCATCACAACCATCTCACGTGCAGACAGTAGGCTTGTTGCCGGATAATGCTGCTCTGTACAGCAGTTCTCCTGCCTACGGCAGGGCAGGTCCCCACGTGGCTGCTGACATGTATGCTGGCTCATCTGCTGGCTTGCATGGGTTTCCGGGAGCCCCCATGGGGTTTTCTGGGAACGTCAATCAAACTGTAACCAATGCTTATCCATCAGAACGACAAGGGCAACCTAGTTACTATGACGCTGCAATTGGTTATGGTGGATATGTCATACCACCTCAATACCATCCAGGTTACTATCCACAGTAGTATGTGGTTCTGCAAATTTTGGATGGTTTCCTTGCATGTCTGATTGTAGACAGCCATTATCAGAAGGCATGACATGCTTTTTGATTACTGCAATTTTGGCACAGTATGCTATATCTCTGTCTTTCCTATGTTTATTAATATGTGGGATTCCTGTGACGTGTTTCAACCAGCCTCATGGTTTAGATCAATCAATTGGGATTCATCATGACATGTCTCATGATAATCAGTCACTCTAGAGCTTTTTCAGAACAGCTAGGAACTTTTTCAAATTGGGAAGTTTTTCTTTTCGTAACTTTTGACTGGATAGTAGTCCTATCTGTTATTTTGTAGTTTCCCTGCATGAAAATGAATTAGGATTCAATGCTTTCAAAACATCTCGTTGCCATCACACTTCATATACTTCCGTTTTCAGCACCTGCTTGAAACCGCATTTTTACCTTTACTCTGCAAATGTAGATCTAATTTGAGTTCTTTTCATTTAATTTTTACGAAAAAAGAAGAGATACTAAAGCACTTCACCTTTTAACATTTTTTCTGCCCCCTCCCCCAACTTATATGTCTCCTCCGCAGCCTTTGAATTGGCTGCAAATTGCAGATTATCTTAGATCTTAATTGTTGCTTTCCGCTGTTAGCAAAACTTTCTATGTTTTGCTAACTTTATTCAGATTCTATGAAGTCGGTCTGCCTTTCAAGTTAGGTGTTAGATGTTTTACAACCATCTGCATTGTAGGGTGGTTAACAAATCATTTAGTTTAAGGTGGCATTGACCTAGGTTGGTACCTGTTTAGAGAAGGCTTGGTAGTGTGCTCTTTGGTTGGTGGATATCATGTAAGCCCTATTTGCGATGGAAACTCATATGAACTATGATGTACCTGCACACCTGTCTGAAAGGGCAATTAGTGTCCTATGCCCCCGTAGCTCCATTGACTTGGGCATTTCCCTGCTCATTTTATCTGTTAGAATCACAATGCCATCTGTGTTGTTTTAGATTAATGCTACATGTACGGGGGAAAATTGCCAAGCTCTTTACAGGGAGACAGATGGCATTTTTTCATTAACAGTTGGCAAAGAAAAACATAACCATACTGGCAGCACCTGTATGGTCCCTTCCAGTTATACCCATGTACAAGGGGAATAATTTGTCGATGTCTCATAGAATGAACATGTGATCTAAGCATCGACTGTGTATACTTTAAGTTAATTGAGGTTAGTTGTGAGGGATATAGTGTTGGTGTACAAGCTTCGTTTACTTCTGCACATTTTTTCGACATTGGAGATGTTGCTCTTTTGGTGCTAGATGGTCTCAGACAAAATCAATGTACTTTGGGAACTTATACATGCAATTGCCTAGGATAAGTTCAATTTTGGGACCAAAGCACCTCTTTTCATTTTTAGTTATCCAAAGCAATGGTCTTCCTAAGTAAGCTCGGGAGGGAACCTCGAGGATCTTGTCTTTAGTTATCCGAAGCGATGGCCTTCTCCCACAGAGAGAGAGAGAGAGAGAGAGAGAGAGAGATTTCATTGCTTAATGTCACATTTCTCTAATTAGCAAATATTGAATGCTATGAATGGGTCATTTTATCTTTTAAATTTAATTTGGGGGTGAATTTTTTGTTGTTCTAGCGATATCTTGTAAATAATTATCGAAGTTTTTATTTTATTATATACATATATATCCCTTGTTTGAGCCCCATTTTGGAGGAAAAAAAATGAGTTTTTGAGTAGTATATTGATGGAAAATGTGTGGTTAAAAAATAAGGAAAAATTTTGGATTTACGTGTAATATTATTCTTTTGAAGAATGTGTGGTTGAATGATGTCAATATACTGTAGAAGAATGTATTTTTTTCTAAATAATGGGGCTCAAACAAGCTGATATATTTGGTGGTGATTATAATTATTTGTTGTTGCAAGTTTAATTGCCTTGATATGTGATAATAAGTCAAGTTGTGGAATTCTAGTCCAATTAAAAGATAGCAAACAAGGAAACAAGACCTTTTGAATTTTAATGTCATTCAAAAGCAGTGCAACAAAAAGGAGAAATGCATTCTTACCTATTTTTATGTTAATATGTTTAAGTAATTTGGTACAAATGGTGCTAGAAGTAGGCGAGGTGTAGCTTTGTCCGATTCTTGAAAGAACTGAATTGACTGTATTATTTGGGGATTTATCGATGAGGCTATGTTTGGTTCTGATTAAAAGCTGATTTTAATTTAAGTCAAAGTCAAACAATCAATATTAACCACATCTTTTATGGATCCCACGACTTTCTAACCACCAATTTCAAATTTTTTTTTATCACAAATTATTAAAAAATCTAATTTTAATTTTCACCAAATATCCTCTGAAAGAAACAAATTCGGAGCGCACAGAGCTTGCTTATACCTATTTCTGGAATTGGAGCAATTTGCGCTAGTTTTTAATCAAATGAACCAAAATGAATTTATTTGTGCAAGAATCAGTTCGAACTAGATCAAACCAATCGATTCTAGTTTAATTTTACCTGTTTGGGATAATTTTTCCCCATTCCAGAGGTCACAACAATAAATAATAAGATTTATAAAATGGATAGTCTATTCTATGCATTATTAGTTACAATATTTTGTAGCATTATTGGCATTAAATAGCATTGTAGCATAGTTGACGTTAGATAAAATCAAAATGATATCATGGCAAAGATTTCCCCCCTTTTCCTTAAAGAACAAACGTTATTGGATTAATCAAGAAATTGATAATGATTATGCAAAATTTAAGGGAATGGTTACTCGTGAAGAATAAAACCTTAAAAAAAAAAAATATTAATCTACTTGTACAATTGTTGTTGACAATAATAGATACAACAATAACAGATGACAACATTGATATTGTCAAATTTTGGTCCATTTTTAAAAACGATTTTTGAAATGGATGAATATAATGTTGACAAATATAATTGTCAACCAATATTGTAAGAAATGATTTACAAATAACATGAAAAAAAATAGAAGACAAGAATAATAAATTCGATTTTACTAATGGTACATCGGGGTGACCCCACTCACATGGACGATAGACCAACTCGAATAAAAATCCTTTCTTTCATATGGGATCCCACACCTATGTGAGTGGGGTGTACACTATTCGGTACACCTTATTATGTACCACTAGGCAAATTCTAATAAATTTCCTAGCACACGTGGTTTTCCACCGTCCATTTGTAAAGAAACATTTGGAGAAGTATATACCAATGGGAACACAGATCTGAAGCTCTAAAGTCAATTGCGTAGTACTAGAACTGTGCCCACTCCGACAAGCGATATCTATGGTCGCACTACAGACAACCTCACTCGAAAGTCGGAATTACCATCCTACCCCCCTCTTTCCTAATTCCAGAATCACCCCTGCCCGCTTTCCCCCTCAAAAGCTGTAAGATAATCGCTAATTTTGACTCTCTTTTTCTTAATTTCTCGTCAATGGAAGATGCTCAGTCATTCCCTCACTCTCCTTCCGATAATTTCAGCTATCACGTGAAAGATGGAGGAAGCTCCGCCACCGGCGGATCGAGTAACGGAGCGAAGTACAGGCTTATGTCTCCGGCGAAGCTCCCGATCTCCAGGTCCACTAGTATTACTATTCCTCCAGGCCTCAGTCCGACGTCTTTCCTTGAATCCCCTGTCCTTCTTTCCAACATTAAGGTGACTTTTTTCACGCAAGAAATTGCTTTATTTGTTTTACTTATTCTGTGCTTTATGGAAAATTTACACTAATGGTAATAATTTAGTGGCTTAAATGATTCAGAATCGGATCTCGTACCTAATTTATGTGGAAATGCAGTGTTTCGTTGCTGAATAAAGCTAAAAGAGTTGGGGAAGTAATATGCCAACACTAGGTTAATTAAGTAATCACAGCTAATAGTTTTAACTCGTCTCGTTGTGCGAATCTCAATTTTGTGAAAATTGCAGATGTTCAATTTTTATGGTATTGAATAACCAAATATGATTTTGTGTGTTTTTGAGGTCAGAGTGTCTGTAGTGGGGAATTTATTGTTGCGTGGGCGACCTCCATTATCGATTTGATGTTCGGTTCTTTTTCGGCATATTGCAGTTTAGTGCATTATTTTTTCTTCTGAGTGCTCATTTGGAGAATATTTAAATGTTATGTCAATAATATATGGTGTCTGTGGGTGGGCTTGGAACTGTTAAATTCTGATGCTCTAGTGACATGAGGATGTATTATATTTATATTGTTTTCATCATGGAATCATCTTGAGCACCTCTTTACCTTTTTTATTTTATACCTTTAAAGAGTATTAAGTTTCACCGTTGTTTCTGCACATAATGAATATTCCTTTTAATGTTGGTGTTTGGCATTTTCCTTTTTGTGGTTCTCTGGAGAAAAAGAAAAAGTTGCACTATGATAATGAGCAGAATCAATGCTATTTATGCCGCTGTGATTATCTGACATTTGTCACAATTGATTATGTTATACAAGGTTTAACGGTATAAATTTGATTGTATCATCTCTGTATAACCCTACCTCTGTAAATGAAAAGGGGAAGTATTTGTTTCTGTTACGAAAAATGACAGAAGAAATAGGAACCCCTTTTGGAGTGGAGAGTTTTGAATGTTTATATGCTAGTTAGTGGTTGTTGAATGAAAAAAAAAAGAAAAAGAAAAATTCCCAAATCACTGAGTTTTCTGGACTTGTTGATTTTCACAGGCAGAGCCTTCTCCAACCACAGGTTCCTTTTTCAAGTCTCAATTGATGCAAGGCCCTGGTGAAGGAGCAGCATTGTCATTGGACAAACATTGTTCCAGAGGCAATGATATTGACCAAGGAACAACCAGCAGCTTCGAGTTTAATTTTCACTCTGGATCTAGTTCCGCACCGGGATCATCGTACATGGGAGTGACGGTAATGCTCTTAGACTCATTATGTCTTGATGGAATGTCTTTCTCTCTATAGAAACATATGTTAATATATGCACGCGTATACCCAACATATACATCTCCATGTGTGGGCGTGGGTGAAGGAATGAATGAATGATTGACACCTAATGATCATTTCTTTTTCCATTGGACATATGGAATATTCTGCAAAAGGAGAATCAAAATAATTCTCTTATCATGTTTCTTCCTGGAAAGATTTGAAAAATATTTTCAAGTTTTATGAACATAATGAAAGTTATATATATATTTAAAAAAATAAAAATAAAATAAAATCTGTTTGGCCAAACAATGTACAGAATTTTGTTTCCTTAATATTATATGATCAGTATCGGTCATGGCGATCAAAGATTTTTCATGTATATCCATTTATTAGTTCTGGATATGTCTTTGAACAAGATGCTTGATGTTACATATATTTAACTTAGAGCTTCCATCTGATTTGCATTCCCAGAGTTTGTCAAAACAATGTTAATAACTTGTGAAACAATGGATATTAAATTCAGTACACTTTGTTATTCTCTTGCACGCTACCATATAAGGATTATTGTAATTATATTGTTGGAACTGAGACTTAAGCCTGTAAATTTGAAATCAAGTAACTGTTCGATTTAGCTTTTTGACAAAATTCAGGAAATTCAACTCAAAGTTCTTTATGCTCTCTGTCCATTGTGTCTGAATTCTAACTCCCCTATGGTAGTCAAAATACTCACTAAATTTGAACCTATGATTTATGTATATTTAGCTGATTTTTGCTCTGGTACCCCGAATCATTTGATTTTGTCAAAGATTCCTGCAGGTCTGAACAGGCAGCAGATTGGACCCCGCAGTCAACTTCAAGACCAGCTGTTTTCACAGTCTTCGTCAATTTCATCTTTTGTTACGTGTCAGCTTCCAAGCTCGAAAGATTTGAGAGTGTCTGCACCCACAACTGTGCATACTTCATCAGTTTCTGATGCTGTTGACGAGTTCAGTTATGGAGATCAGTCCAATACCCGCATTCAAGTGTTGACTTCTGATAATAAAGATAGTGTTTCCTTAGTAACAGGTGAGAGAACATCTGATGATGGGTATAACTGGAGAAAATATGGGCAGAAACTTGTTAAAGGATGTGAATTTCCTCGAAGCTATTACAAGTGTACATATCCCAAGTGTGAGGTTAGAAAGTTTTTCGAACGTTCTCCAAGTGGGCATATAACAGAAATCGTATACAAGGGCTCACATGATCATCCAAAACCTCAACCTGCCCGTCGATATAATTCTGGTGCTCTTATGTCCATTCAAGAGGAGAAATTGGACAAGGATTTATCATTCACTAGTCAACAGGGTAATTGGACTAACATTTTGATAATTCCTCCTTTAGCATCTAAAATGTAATAGTGCAAAACTTTAGCAATCCCATTGTGCTTTTTTATGTTGCACACTAAAATGTGTTCTTGTTTTTATTTTATCATTTTGTTGAAGACAAGTTGAACCCCAATACTCTGAGCAGTAGCGTGGAGCCAAATATATCTCCAGTGCTGTCTCTTCAGCAAGCAAATGAGGATGGTCCATATGGGACAGGAGAATTTCAGGCCATTGATGAAGATGATCCATTTATTAAGCGGAGGTAATGCTGTTAAACAAATGCGTTGGATTTGTAACTGTTTTTCCATTATAGCTTATTGTTTGGAAATCTAAGCAGGAAGATAGAGGAGGATCTTGATGTTACACCAGTGGTTAAACCCATTCGTGATGCACGTGTTGTTGTTCAAACTGTGAGTGAAGTTGATGTACTAGATGATGGATATCGTTGGCGTAAGTATGGGCAGAAAGTGGTCCGAGGAAATCCGAATCCCAGGTATGTGGTTATGTTCAAATACATTTAAAAGGTTGAACTTGAATTGAATGGTATTCTCATTTTGGACACACTGCATTAGATCTGATGTAAAATTAACGTTTGCCCTCTCTAATCCTGAGATAAAATGCTTATACCTGCATGATCTGGGAATTAAGTAGATATAAACTTCTGTTTTATTGGTTTTTAACAGTTTTAACCTTGACCGGTATGACTTGCTTAAATTTTATGAGGCGTTTGTTCTTATTCAACCATCATAGTAATTGTGCCCCATATATTACTATGTGATATCCATGATAACATATTAATCCTTGGAAACAGGAGAAGTTGAAATGGTAAAAAAGGTCAAATTTGTTGCGATTAATCAAAAGATTAATGCTGAAAATGAAGTTTTCATCAAGACGTAATGAGCAGCACACTTTTTGGCCTCTACTATCAAAGTCTGCTTGCAACATTGCAAGCTAATTATGCAAACTCGTAGTGTTTCCTCCAGAAGCTAGATGCATGTTTTTCTTAACTTTTAAGAATACATCATATGGAATCTTACTACTTTAGCAGTGAAAACTTGGGTTTGTATTTATTTGGATCTAGAAGAAATCTTATCCCATGTTTGCATACTAGTTGAATCAATATGGACTTGAAAGTCTGATTAGGGCTTTGCTTAAAACTATCCTTTGCATGCAACCTCTTATCAAACCTACTACATTTTTCTGCTACAAAAATGTAGCGTTTCTTATATTATTTTCATCTGCAATGTAGGAGTTATTACAAGTGCACAAATGCCGGATGCCCAGTGAGGAAGCATGTCGAAAGGGCATCCCATGATCTCAAAGCAGTTATAACTACATACGAGGGCAAACACAACCATGACGTCCCGACTGCCAAGAATAGTAGCCATGAATTTGCAGGAACCACGCCATTTAGTGGGACTTTGATAATGAAACCAGAAGATAAAGGCTCAGTTAGCCTTGATCTTGGGGTCGGAATTAGCCAGAATCAAGCTAATCAGCAGCTGCACAACTTGAATGGTCAAACTGCACAAAGCCAAATTCCACCTAGTGATTCCAGTATGATGATAATTCAACCATCACAACTCTCTCGATATGGTTTTGTAAATGGTGGGTTGAATCTGAATGGAAATAGAGAAAATCACGTTGAAGGGCATAACTTTCAGAGTCAGCCTGTACACGCTTCTAGCCAATGTCCACAAAATATTGGAAGAATTCTTATGGGTCCATAAAATTATACCTGAATATTGATAAAAATATAGAAATAACAAAATTACCAATTTTATTTTCCCGTTCTTTTCTTAATGAAAGGTGAATGGCTGTATTTAAGGGTGAAGTAGTTTCGAATGTTTACGCATGATACGCGCACATTTCAATTCTTTCATTTTCTGCTTCATGTATATGTTCCATAGTTAAGTGTTTCTCTATGTTAAGTATTTGATGCACCTTTGTCGACATCTTTTTATCATTCTTCCCTTCATCTTCGTCGTCTTCCCATTTTTAACCGCACAGCCGCAAAGATCTTATAGGGTTTGAGAGTGACAGTTGATTGGAAGAAGGGTTGGGCATTTTTCTGTTGACAAATTTATTATATGTTTGGCAAATAGAAAGCAGCACCAATTAGAGAGTTGCAGCTGTACTTGTGACTACAAATACAAGCCGGTTGAGCAGGATGAGTTTTGGAGGAAATACTGACTCCTAAAATTGTTATAAGAAACATTATGAATCTCATATTAAATCGAGCAAGCTTCTTGTACGATTGTATGCTGTAGGAACGATTTTTTTCACCTCGATATTGAAAATAAGTTTATATCATCGCCAATGGAAGTAGTGAGCTTCAAGAAAAGCACACGAAGAAGAGTACGAACAGGGTGAGAAATGCACACAGCACTTAATCCATTCCCAGTCTACTTTTTATGCAGATTAAGAAATATTCAAGTACTTTCTGGCATCCTTTTATGGAAGGTCTGAAATCTGCTAGTGGGAATTTCATGAAATAAACACAAAATGATATAAATTCTGTCCCTGTTTGTGCCTAACAGAGCTTTTTCATGTACTATATTGAATCCTTTCAATTTTCAAATTGCTAAATCATTCACTTGTTCAAGAATCTAGAGGCGAATTTGCAGCCCACAGGGACAGAGACTACATTTGCTGCAATACTGACTCAGTTATAACCTGAAATATCTAATGAAAGAAAAATGAAATTCGATCTGCAGGCGAAGAGAGTGTTGAAAATGCACAGAGTTTAATTTTTTTCTAGCTTCCAGTTCCAGACGAAAAGGCGGTGTCTCCAACTTACCCGTCAAAGAAAAATTTCAGAAACGAAAATGCATGGGATGTGGATAGCTTTGACGCAGAACGTGAACTGTGGTAATAAAGTGACAGATGCAGCTCGTCTTCCTGCATAGAGCAAAAGCAGCAGATCTGGAAGAAGAAAGCCAGAAGGTAAACTCATTGATGGCTCAGAAAATTTAGTGATTCAACCCAGATTCAGGCAGAACCACTTAAGAAAGAAGTTTAACGAAAAGATCTTGGATTTACCCTTTTTTGGCAGTACTAATGTAAATAATCTGCTCATGACAACAGAGCTGGATATAGGGGATCCCTCGAGGAATATAATCGAGACAATCTTTCAAACAAGTGAAACTAACCCGACAAAGTGTTCCAGGAAGATAAAGAGAGTCCTAAAGGTGATTGATGCATTGGACAATTATGAGAAGTATGAAAAAGTTCGGATAGACAGTGAAAAAAAAAAAAATTCTATGAGCAGTATAAGAGGTTTGAAAATAAAACCAGTATCTTATCTTTGCAAAGATCCCACTTGCCCTGTTTACATATTAATTCAATCCGGTTTCAACACTTCATAATATAACAAGAAAGGGGATTCAACAGAACGCAGATAATGGGATACTAAGTGAGTATATAACAGTGATTACAAAGGGGGAGAATGTCAGGAGAGCCATAATAGTTTGTCGAACAATAGATGGTGGAGTTGTAAAGATGGATGATGTTGAAAATTAAGTGTATGATTCAGTAGGAACGGGCCGTATTCCAAGTTAGAATACCTAATTTTATGAAATCCAAGTGCTGAACCTCCCTTCTTTATAGTAGTCTAATTTTGTGGCTCTTCAAGATCTGCATCCATTATAAATCTAATGTATAGAGATTTCGTTGTTATCCTCTTCAAAATGAAACGTTTTACAAGATGCTACTAAATATTTGAAATGACTAATTGGGCATTATTATTAAATAGAAAAAAGTTCATATACATATCCTTAAAAATACTAGTCAGTATCTGCAAATAACTGCCCGATTCATCGATAAAAGAAAGGGATTTACCTGACGTTTAGAATACAAATCTTTAGCATATATGAGGATTTTATTGCCAGGCGCAGGATGCAACTATATCCTTATTCTTCCAGCCAAGATATAGAGCTCCGTCTCTCTCTTCAAGTCTGTAGTTCTCACAGTAGTTCTCCAACAGAGTCTTAATAGTAGCATTTATAAAGGAGCTCAATGGGTAAGGAGTAAACCCAGCCATAGAAAAGCGGGACCTCCACTTTCCAAGAAGCTCATGACGTTCCACTCTATCTGGCCCTTCACATGCTATTATGTTGACAATATCACGAGCCAGACAAAACTGCTCGACGTTGATGCGTTCCTTCTGATCCCTAGGCAAAGCTACGTCGAGTGATTCAAATATAGCCAGGTAATAGTCCAGTGTCTCCCTAAATCGGAGAAAGAATGGGGCAGTATTAGTGTTTGATTCTTGCTCTATTAGAGTAACAACCTTTGGAGACAAGCTCTTAACCATCCTCAGTAATCTGTCACGATGATTTTCAGTGGTGACACTCTCATCTGGCATGTGGTGTAGCATTAGTGCGAAATTTACAGCAAGTGCTTCCCCTGGCTGAACCTTTAGATGTTCACTCTGAACAATACAAGCGGAAACTGGCACGGCATGGAACTCAAATGGTACTTTACATGATTTTGCTATAATTGATAGCCTCTGACCCACAATTTCAAGCCCACCTCCTCGGGCATAAGCTGATGTGGAATCGTCTATCCCTGTAATGCGGATGTGTGGGGGTCCACCAGGCTGAGAAGCAAGAGCATGGATCAGAGTGATCCACTGGATGCCCTGAGCAATTTGAAAATCAATTATATGTATCCTATTTTCATCTTTCATTGCATCAGCAATGGCTCCGTTTGCCGACAAATATCCAAATTTGAAATAAGGACAGATTTCATAGAGAAAGTGCATGTGTGACAGGAGCTCATCACTGGTGGGCTCTTTGCACCTTAGCGATTTGTATATGGAGCTTCCCGAGGAGGATAATCTAGCAACCAACCCCTCCAACATGTAGGCTGCTAACCGCTGCAGTGGTTCTCCACAAACTGAAACCATTAAGCGTAATTCTGACATCAACCACTCATAAGTCAATAAATCATTATCCGAGACAGCTTTTGCACAGGCAACCATAATCTCTTTTAAGTTTCTTGTCTGGATCATCTCTACTGCTTGCTTGGACGACTGTGCCTTCAATGAATTTTGATTAAGTGCACCTGAAATAGTAATATTTTGGGCATTAAAAATTTGAGATTCAGGTCCCAGCATAACATTCTCTAGCTCTCTTAATTTGTGCTCCAATTCATTATCATTATCAACTGATCGAGACCTGCTTGAATCCGAATAGCAGTGAACGTAACCAGAATGATTCATATCTGATAAATGATCCCGCTGACAAATGGGACTGCCATTAGATGAAAAACTGACAGTAGAAGGAGAATTATAAGAGGGGCAACAGCCACTTCCTGTGGATGATTCAATGGTGCTGTGCTGTTCAGGTGTTAGAACAGAGAACTGTGTACTGTGGCTACCACCTTCATAGCTTGTGCAGTGATCTAGATTATCTGATGGAGCTAACAAATATGACTCGAGCTCATCAGGAGGTTGATGGTAGAATCTGGCGGCCCCATCTAAACTCCCATGATTCTGAGATGTCTGCATTCTGCAGTAACCAACTTTGTGATTTAGCATTACGGTACAAAATTTCAAGGATACATCCGTTCAAGATAAGTCGTCTGAGACCCCAGCTCCCGAATAATCAACCTTGGAAGGAATGTTAGGCTGTCCATATCATTTTAAACGGACACATCCTGCAAAAGACTTGGTAAAATTATTGTAGAAAATGGATTTCTCATGAACAAGTTGGACATGTCTACAATAAGCTTCAAACACATAACTTAAAACAAGTCTTTAGAGCTTAAATCCAACTATAAAATATTAGTACTGACAATTAAGAACATAAATGAATCTATGATCTTTATCATAGGGGAAGACACATAGCATAGCATACAAGTTTCAGTACTTGTTCGATTAAATTTTGGGAGAGCCCCAAAGATTCTGATCTACATTCATACAAGTTCTCCAGTAAATTTGAAGATTGAGGAACAGGAAATGGCATTAATGATACAGTGACAGAGAAAGATAGTACTAAAAATTGATTAGACCTTCAATTAAAAGCTCAAAGTAGGGGTTGGATCTTCATAACGCCGACATAATATTCCGGTTTATGCGTAAGAGAGAATCAAAAGATCCCTTGTTTTTTTGGCAATCCTATCTCTCAGAAGCCATAAAATCTACATATAAGACCTCAAGTTCAGCTAAAAATGTTAAAAATAACAGATAATAATCACCATAAATCCCTTTCTGAATAACCCTCATGATTTTGACACCAAGAAAAAGTATCTGAAGAATTCAGCAGAAATTATAGTCTCTGTTTGGAGAATTTACTTACCTTTCGCTGCTAGTTTCTTGGTTATTGTTCAAGATTCTGCTCCTATCCAAAAACATTCTGAGTGGTGTGTGCTGTTTAGTTCTTTGGTACAAGAAGAAAAATTAAAGTAACAGGGAGCAGTTAATTACGGCAAATTTGGTTCTGACGCGGTTTCTTAGACACAATATTCCATGGTCAATGTAAGGGATAAAGTCAACCTGACATTAGAGTTCCAAGTTTTTGTTCCAGCTTGACTTTTGGGTATGAATTCGACATTCGTGCATACTTTAGATTTATTTTATTTTATTTTATTTTTTTCCTAAAAAATTGAATAATATATTCAATAGAAAAGGACAAATCATGATATTCGGCCGCTATTTGACGGGGTTAAAAATTAGATTTTTAGGGAATTTTTAGGGCTGTATTCAACTGAAATTTTTGAATATTTTTTTATAATTTTTTTAAGTGATGATTTTTGTAAATTTCGAGATTTTTTTTAATAGATTTGTATAGAGTTAATAGATATTTTTTTGAAAACTTATATAGACTTTGATTTTAAAACTTCTATAGAATTGAAAAGACTTTATAATTTAATTACAAATACATATTTTTCATCGAAAATGGATGAGAAATGCAGAGACTTTTTAAAAATCTATAAAAGTCTCTAATGAATATATCAATATTTTTAGAGAGTTTCAAAAAGTTAATATTGAATAAATATCTTTAAACTTTTTAAATTCCTGAAGTGTGTAGTTGAAAATATATAATTAAAAAATTGATAAACATTGTATGTCTCATAAAATATGTAGTTGAAAATGAATTTTAAAAAAAATAAATTTTAAAAATTTGGATCCACACAGGAGCTTGATATAAAATGGACAAGTGCGTGCTTGTTTGAAATCTTCTTATAATTTGAAATCAATCTTAACTATACAAATAATTGCTACCCAATTATACAAAGTCTGAAATCAATCTTAACTATACAAATAATTGCTACCCAATTATACAAAGTCTGAAATCAATCTTAACTATACAAATAATTGCTACCCAATTATACAAAGTCTGAAATCAATCTTAACTATACAAATAATTGCTACCCAATTATACAAAGTCTGAAATCAATCTTAACTATACAAATAATTGCTACCCAATTATACAAAGTCTGAAATCAATCTTAACTATACAAATAATTGCTACCCAATTGTATTAAACACATTCCATAGGACTCATTGATACTTTTCAATTGGGCACTAAATTTGTTGACAAAAAATGTTTAAACCTTTCACGTGTGGATATAAACTCCGTTTTAATTGCTGATGGTTATGGATTTTACGAACAATTTTTATTATTGAGAATAATAGAAGCGTGAGACAAAAAGATTAAAGGCTAGCTCATGTGGTAATATCGAAGTGTTATCAGGTCAATACCCTGAGTTCGAGTCTCATGTGGGGGGAATGGTGAAAAAATAATAATAAAAAAAAAATCGTGAGATGAGGAAACTTAAAAGATCCCACTTTGCCACCCTTCTAATTAATTAATTCATTTTATCATTATTCATATTTTAAATATAATTTAAATTAAATAACATAAAAATAAAATAAAATAAAATTTTGCCATCCGTATATCAACCTATATCAACCTTACCATGAACGAGGTATATGTATGTGTATATTTTTATATTATTTTATAACATATTTACTGCATAAGAATGATGACATGCTTAGCAATAGCATGGAACTGTACAAGTGACATAAGGTACAACATTTTCAACATCAAAATATTGTTTGCTTTTGAAAAAGACAGGTTAGCCCACGAGAATCTCGAGTGCTTAGAAAACTAGAGGCAGTATTTCTTTTGTTATAAGGTTGAATTCACATACAACTTAAAAAAAGGTTGGACCCCAACTTTAAGGGTCCTCATCGTCCCGTCCTTAGAGTTTTGTGAGTGAGGTAAATCGCAGGATGTGCCCCAACAGACCAGGGAACAAGAGCTGTCTGTACACTGCGCCTACAAAGAATCCAATTCCATGTTTCAGAAATCGAACCCCCACACTGCGGTTGCCAACAAGGCGTGAGATAACTCCATTCCTATCCTTTGCATCACCGTACTATGTCCCGGAGCTCACATACAACTTATGTCAAATTTTAAATAGAGCCAACCACAATGATTCAGGTTTTTATTTTTATTATTTTTCCAGAGATGATAATGTAGGAGAGGAGACTTTAGGGTGCTAATAGAAAGATAATTGGTTTTAATGGTCCCACTAGAATAATTTAGAGAAAGGTGGTCAATAATGCATTATCAACTAATTCAATATTAGTGAAAATTAGTCCACATCACTTGTGATAATTTTTTAATAATTAAGTCATCCTTCAACTTGAGAAATCCACCTAAAAACTTAATCTAAAAGGGCAGGTAAAAGTTAGCATCACTGACTACAATTTCATTTAGGGAGTGTTAGTGGCCCATTGTCAGGTTCAACTCTGCTTAGTCTACTTGGCGAGTCGGCTCATGCTCGCATGAGCAGATTCACTTCAAAAAACCTCAACTAGCCCCCACCATCTTGGTGGAACAAGCCAAGCCAATTCACGAGCACTTGAATTCATCAATATTTTTTTTTATCATTTTTTGTTTTTTGACTTCTCAACTAGCCGAAGCCGACTCGGTCCATGCAAGACGAAGAGTGGTTCGTGCGAGAAAAATTCAACTCAACTCACCCCACGACTTGCCCCTGAGACCAATCAAGCCAACTCATCTCATCTGTGAGGGTGAGATGAGTAGGCTGAAGTCAGCTCACCCCTATTTGACTCCCTGGTTTCATTCAAGAAATTAATGATGGTAATGTTGGAAAGTTACTAAAATGTAAAAGGCAAAGTCAAATCTCAAGCCTTACGAACTTAGGTATAATAAAGTATTTCTTTTCATTTTTTAACTTTTAGCTTAATCATAGTAGACTAATAGATAAATAAATACTTTGAAAATTTATAGGAATTTCGTACATATTTTTTAAGTTCCCAGCAAAACCACAAAAAAGGGTAAAAAAAATTCTTTAAATCATAAATGCTTCAAATCAATAACATGTTGCTTTTGGCAGATAATATATATATATAGGTCATGCACCTTTTTCTACCTAGGCGCGCCAGAAGTGATCGACATAGAATTACTATCTATTTCTCCATCTAGACGGAAGGTAAGGCATTTTCCACGAGCTCTGAACCTAGACAAACCCTTTAGAACACTAAACGTTGGAAATTTAAGGAATTTGACATTTGAAAATAAATTGGCACCATCGTGAATCCCATGTTAGCAATCATTATCCATTTGTAGGGCTGAATATGAACCGGTTCAATTCAATTCTAAAAAGAATCAAATCGAATTCGAGACTTTCAGGTATTTAGTAAATGAAATTGTTTGACTACAATTTTGTTTAGTTCGATTCGGTTCACGAGTTCCTTACTATAATTAATTTTTTTAATATTTATAAAGTTACATTAATTCAACTAATAATATGTTCAATCTTAACTCTTACAAAATAACGTAGTCTAATTTTATGTATCTTTTACGTCTATTTTTGTTGAGTTCTTCATAAATTCGATTGTTAAAATCATAAGAAAATAAAGATAGGGAGCTCACAATAATTAAAAAATGTGCAATTGAACTTTAATTCGATTTTTCCAAAAAAGTAAAAACGGCACATCATAGAATAAAAAATTTGAGTAAAACTTGGATCAATTTAACTAAATTGACCTTGGACTAAAAATTAGAAATAGGGATAATCATTATATTTGGGTTTGAGCTAAATTAATTAGTTAGCAAATTTATTTTCAAAAAATAAAATAATTTAACTTATTTAAAATAAATACATTTAAAAAGTTAGGAAAATTCGATTCTTATTTGATTTTTTTGTCCTTAATTTAGAATCGAAACCAAACCGAATTGGTTAGTTTTCGATTCAGATATCTGTTCGGGTATTTAACTTAAGAAGACATGCTCGATTTACTTCGGTTCGAGTCGGGTACGATTCGAGAGTTTTGTCAAAGTGGAAATTACACAATTCCATACTTTAAAATCACAATTCTAAAATACGATGAGTAGTTTAATATTTCAAAAATCAGAAATTTAATTTTAATTAATTTTTAAAAAATAAATATTTTTACTAAATATATATACTCCATTACGCATAAAATCTAATTAATTCTCAATACTCTCTCTACATTTCTCTCTCGTCTCACTCTCTCAACATTTCTCTCTACTCTCACCTCTGAACCGCCGACTATCAACAGAGGGGAAATAAAGTGAGATCGTCGACGCCGAAGTGAAGCCAATTGAAGCAATGTCGCCGTCAGCACTCTCTACTCCAACGACGCCAACTCTCCTCTCTTATTTTTGCAACAAACCCACTATGAGTTGTGGTCCACAAATCACCGCGAACAGCAATGGTGAAATGATACCGCAAGGTAGATCGACGACTCTTCACAAGTGTGCGCGAAGGAGAGGCAGTTTGGGTTGGTGGCAGTTTGGGTTGGTGGCAATTTTTGTGTGATGGTGGTGATGGTATTTGTGTGGTGGCGATTTGTGGCGGTTTAGGTGGGGTTTGGATGGTGATCTGTGTGGTGGTGGTGTTCCCAATAGAGAGTAGTGGATTTGGCGAGGTGCAATGGTTGTTGGCGATTGCGATATGGTGTGGGTTGTGGTGATGATGGTGGATCTGTGGTAGGTTGTGGTGGCGCTGTTATAGGTTATGGCGAATCTGTGGTAGGTTGCGGTTTGGTATGGGTTGTGGTGATGATGGCGAATCTGTGGTAGGTTGCGGTTTGGTATGGGTTGTGGTGATGATGGCGAATCTGTGGTAGTCGTTTTGGCAACGACAGGTTGAGGTGGTGCTGTTACCGGTTATGGGGTTAGGGTGGTGATGCAGTAGTGTGGGTAGTGGTGGTGGTGGTGTTTTTTTGGTTGTTGGAGTAGTGGTGGTCGTTTATTGTTGGGGATTTTGATGGTTTTGACGTTGGTGAAGCTGGCGGTGGTGACGGTGGATTTGGCGAAGTAGTGGTTGGTGATGTTGCAATGGGTGAAAAGAGTGGTTTGTGACCAATTATGTTATGATTAGTAAATTGTTAATTTGTAATCGGTAAATAATATATGGTCGAATATGTGACTGTGACTAAATTTATAATACGACTGTGACTTACAATTGATTAAGTTGTGACAAAAAAATTAATCGTGACCAAGTAAACTAA